TTTCAAATGACAAAACAAGAGCAAGTTATCTCCATTACATCCTTATAAGTCTCCAGTGAGTTAATTAAAAAATTCTATTTTTGTTTAAGATATTCCAGAGGGAGAAGAAACAATTAAAGGGTTTACAGCACCATGGAGTGCAATTAAAACAGAAAGCATTCCCAACACGACTGCTGATTTCTTTTGCAAATGCTCTTTTATTGAATATATTGAATATAAGCAGAATGTGCATGAACAGAATATGGGTTTAGCCACTTATAACCTCATTCTTTTTTTTTCATTCACATATGGGGAAGAAAGGAAAATGAAACACTTTCTCTAGAGACAAAGGATGACTTCATAGTTTTTTAATTTCTTTCCCTGAGGAGCTTTAAAATACTCACTACTCCATACAACATCCCCATTCTACTCAACAGCACAATATTTTGGTTATCTTTTTTGCCAATAGGACTAAATAAGAATATGAACAGTGAGTGAATCAGAGGGAGATGAGATAATGTGTTGAACGGGGACTTTGTAACAATCGATGGCTTGGTCCTTAGGAATTCCCTCTACCCAATTGTCCTGTGTTTAGGTATCAAGTAGCTATTAAGGCTCTATTCTGGGCCTATGTGGGAATGAGAACAGTTTGGCTAATTGTGACCTTTCTATGGTTAGTTTTACCCATCCCCTCTACGTGGCTTTGGTTCTGGTAGTGGGTGGCAGGAAATGAGTCATTCTTTGACTAAATGGCCTACATAAGACAATGTACCTTTGTTGAGGACAGCCTGGCTCAGAATCCCACTGGACTGGGTATTTTGGAATACAGAACCAATAACTTATTTTTTATGAAGGTCAATATTTACACAGGTAATAATCTTAAACATTAGTGATCTTCTAGAGCTCATAGTAACAAGTTTGGATATAAAACAATCCCAGCCAAGGACGGCTGTTGCTGTTTTCATTGTGCATCTCAATGGATTGCACTGATAGTATCTTTTTCTTCTTTTACCATATGCCCTCCTTATACTGGTCAGGGTCCCAGACAAATATTGCTTTTATATTATCTTTCTTACCATGCTACAGTGCAATCGGTTATTTCTTTCTTCTTATGACTTTTGGACTTTATAAAACAATTGAGAGTTTTCATGAGGGTGAGGTCTGTGTTTCATGTTTCCCTGCTATTTAATGATAATTGCTTGTAAGAAGTTTTACATTGCCATGGTTATATATCTTTAATTGTTTTGTGGTGTTTGGGGTACTTGTTCTATTGCACTAACAGTGTTTTTAACTAAATATGTGGTTAGAAATCATATAACACCTAGAACAGACAGGATACAAAAGCTGAATTAATTATTCAATAATTTTGAGAGACTATATTTATTCCATGTAATTTTTCCTGTACAAAGTATTAGTCTTATCAGAACTTCTTGAAAAACTTTTCAGAATTATTAGGTATGAAAGTATTCTTGATTTACATTTGGTGTAGAGGAACAGTCAAGTATGACGTAGTAGGTAGAATCTTTATGTTGGGCTGTGCTGCGCATGACAGGACGGCTTACTACAAGTATACCATCGGGAAAAACAAGACACCCTCACAGATTTCCAAAGCACTCTATGGCGGGAAAAACCACTGTGGTTGGGGAACCATTGCTTTAACACTGAATACTTTCAAAATATTTGACAATTGAATTTGCTCCTTAGATATTAATCCTTAAGTAGCAAAGTAAAGGGAAGAGTGCATACAATTCCTGGCAGGAGTCTTGCTCCTCTTGAATCCTCCTCACCTTGACAGTGATCTAGCTAAACTGAACAGTCTGAACATGCCACTCCCTTGCTTTCATCTCTTCCGTTGCTCCTCATTATGCCTACAACATAATAATGTCCATGCTTTTTTGACAGAATATATGTGATTCCTGTGACAAGGACTCTTTCTACTTCCCCAGGCTCTTTTCCAGATACTCTCCACCTCCTCCTAAATGCCTGAGCCCCAACCTGCTTGGGCTGCCTGCATATGCCAGGTACTCCTTGCCACTGTGTCTCTGTGCATATTGTCCTCTCAAGATTCAGATCCTAGGTCATCTCTTTGGGGAAACATCTTTCCTAAGAAGCTGAACCTTAACCATCAGACGGGACTAAATTCTTCTCAAGCTCTGTAGTTCCACAGTGCCCTACACACAGTTCTAGAAACCACTTTAAGAATTACAGGTGATCTATTTGTCTTGATCCCACAATCTACCACTAGATTATAAGCTCTTCAGGGCATGACCACACTTATGTATCATTGTATTTGCAGCAGTAATGCATTCAATGCCACTTTGAGTCTTACACTTACCAGGCTTTGCTGAGCCCCTGACTGTGTAGAAGACAGGAGACATTGATTAGTTAGGAGAGGATAGATGAGAGAGTCTAACTAAATACCACATTCCATTCTGGTAGAAGAGGTACATATAAAAATGACAAGCATGAGAGATAACCCGTGATTTTCATTTTTAAGTCAGATTAACCCAATGCTCTCTGAAGTGTTTAGGCAAAATACACCGTAAGAAGCAGCAAAAGTGTTAAAAGTATTTTGGGTAAATAAAACCTGCTGACAGGGAGAAGCCCACATTGTTGAGAATGCAACTGATAATCCATTAATAGACATATAGCTTTAGGTCTACATCATACAAAATGAAGAAGAGCTAACAAGTTTAGAAACCCCTTGTCCTCTCTGCATCATCAATCTGAATCATTTATTCGACCAGTATTTCTTGAGTATCTACTATGATTCAGGCATGTTCTAGAAGCTGGGGATAGACCAGTAGCCAAGACTGACAACATCTCCAGTTTCATGGACATTTAGTGCAGTATGAAAAAATTAGAAATATATAATTAGAAAATTAAAAAATGTTATCAAAAGATTCATACTAAAATTAAGTAATTCAAATATGAAAATTCAAAAATGTAATATTATAATTCTAATGATCATATCTAGTATATATCTAATCTCTAGATATTCTTATTATGTAATTTATATGTATTAACATTATATAACCACAATTTACATATAATTATGATGGCTAATGATACATTTATTACACACAGACACAGATATGCAGACACACATACACTCTAGCTCAGTATATCTGATTTACATTTTGTTAAGTGAATTAAGATGATCAGTTCCAGTGTAATCAATTTAACACATATCCAAAATGCTTAAAGGTACATAGGTCAACAAAGAGAATATATCCCCTTATTTTTCTTATCCAAACTTGATTTATGTGATGTATTTAGAAGGGTTCCAAATATTTTGCTGTGTTCATGGACACATAGGTGTACTAAAGTTGATGCTGTAACTCAGAATCCTATCACATAATGAATTAACATTAGCATTTGGCAATGTGACAATTTAAAAATATTTCTGCCTCAAAGCAAAAATAATTCAAAGCTGAGGGGACCACGCCCAATGATCTAAGCAGACCAAAAAACGGTTCTGCTGTTGAATTTGACCTTTAACTAATATTTAACAAATATATTTAAACTAAATTACTTTTTAAATAGCCTATGTATCCACGAGGTGAATAAAATGCAGTTTCCGTTAAGCAGGACTATATCAAATGCCCTTTTATTGTTTATAACTTTTATCTCAAAGAAAGAAAATAAAGCCAGGGTATTTTCTCTGAGATAAAATTTTCCTATTGTGACTTTCAATTTGAGTTACCTATTTTCTCTACTTAGGTGATTTTTCCCCCCTACACAGAATAAACTGAAATAAAATTCAACAATGGGTACTAGAATAAGGAGGTAGTCAATAATAATGAGTCTTCTGATAAACAAATTGGGAATTGGGAAGTTGGACATTAAATAATATGAAAACCCACTTTTACAAGTCTCAATGAATTAATATTTATCAAATAGTTACTCATTGTATCTACAATTACTAGGCTTTTTCACATCTATTCACAATTGTAACATAAACTTGATTTTTTAAAGCAGATCTTTAATCATAAGAAAACAAACTTTGCAAATGGTTTGAAGATGTGATCTCATTATGTTAGCATCACGGTGATTTATTCCCTTGGTGATCAAAATCATTCAAGAAATCTCGCCAACATCATAACCCAAAAGGAAATGAAATACTTTTTTAAAAAGTTTGAGTTGATAAGTTGGTTATTTAGAGGCAAACAATTTTAGATATTAAAGTTAGAAAAAGAGAGGTGAATTTTTTTTCACACAAATCCAGCAAGGTATAATATTGCTCTATGGGGTACCAACGAAGGCAGACTTGAATTTAGATGAATTATCTCAAATGCTCCAAATAGGTTATTTGAGGAACTCAGTCTTTACAAGTTAATTAGCATTCACTTGCTGCTAAAGTCAGAAATGTGCCAGGTCACACCTGGTTTACTTACAGAACTTTAAGACTGTAGAGGCCAGCAAAGGCTCCCTTGGGAATGTATGTCAAAGCGTTTCCGGCAAGACGTCTGTGGGTTTGAAGGGAGAGGAGAGAGAGTGAGCACAGTTCTCTTCATGTGGAATTCATTTAGTTGTTAAAAAAACGCACAATACAATTATGTTCAAACCACAAATGCCAAAAACAATGGTAAAAATAAAAACACTTGTTTTGTTATAGTTTGTGAAAATTTTCTGTAAATTTCTAATAAAAAAGCTGGCAAAAGAAGTGCCTAAGAAGAGATATAATAAATTACCTTTTTTACAGAAGTCATTTAATAGCTTACCTACACTGTATATAACTCTCCTTTAACATTTTTTTTTTAATACAAAAGCTAGGCAAAGGGATAGAGAGCAGTGGGGGACAGTTGCCAGGGTGATGGGCTTATTATTACAGGTAAGATGGTGGGAGAGAGCTCTGCTATGAGTGCATTTCAGCAGAGGTCTGCGCCAAGCATCACAAAAGCCCTGAGGTGGGAGTGTGCCTGGTATAGTCCGGAAAATGCAAGGAGGCCAGCATGGCTGGAGTGAAGTGACCAAGCAGGAGAATGATGGGGTGAAGCTGGGGAGGTGTCCAGAGCCAGTCCATGCAGGGCTGTGGAGGCCACAGGAAGGGCCTGGAGAGGGGAGGGGTGTGATCAGATCCATGTTTTAAAAATATCCTTCTGGTGTATGGGACGATGCTTCAACCAACTGAGCCATACCAGCCAGAACCCAGGAATGGCCAGGGAGAGGTCAATGGGGGAAAAAGGAGACATATGTAATACTTTAAACAATAAAGAATTTAAATTAAATAAATAAATCCTATATAATAAAAGGGTAATATGCAAATTGACCGAATGAAATGACCGGTTGCTATCATGCACACTGACCACCAGGGGGCAGATGCTCATGACTGGCGAACGCAGCAGCCATGGCAGAGGTCTCTCCGCCTCCACGGCAGTACTAAGGATGTCCGACTGCTAGCTTAGGCCCGTTCCCCGCGGGGAGCGGGCCTAAACCACCAGTTAGACATCCTCTGAGTGCTCCTGGACTGGAGAGGGTGCAGGCCAGGCTGAGGAACACCCCCACCCCCCAGTGCACGAATTTCATGCACCGGGCCTCTAGTAAATAAATAAAGAGAAATAAAGGGTCCTTCTGATGGGACCTTTTCTTTCTTGTTTATTTAAAAAATTTTAACATTTATTTTAATTTTCTATTACAGTTCACAGTCAATATTATTCTGTATTAGTTTCAGGTGTAGAGCATAGTGGTTAGATAATCATACTTTACAAAGATGGAAGCTTTATAGAGGGGAGAATAGAGCAAGAGTGGAGACAGACACAAAGGGAGTTTACACGGAGATGCTGGTGCAGCACAGCTGTGGTGGAGGAGGAGAGAAGGGTGGGACTTGATGTGGAAGAAAGAAAAATCCAACCGACAAACCACCAGCACCAAGGGGAAATGTAGGCCGTCAAAAACAGTACCATTTTATATTTATGAGTACATTATAGACAAGCCACATGCATTTGATCGGTTATCCCAAGTACTATACACAATACTGGAGTAATGAACTGTGTATGACCGGGACATACTAGTCAGAGAGTTGTTTATTGTCACAGAAAGGCTCAGACCTGGTTGAAGACCACAGATGGCTTAACTGATCAGACTAAACTGACTAGTAGCTGTTCAGGGACAGCGAAAATGTCCCTAGCTCTCCTGTTCACAGCCTTGACTTCGGTAGCACATCTCTGAGTTCTAGAACAGAGCCTTGAGATGGGCCTTCACTCTTACTGCTGCCTATGGTATCAAGCAGCTTGATGGTTTCTGAGGCCTTGACTTTGGAAAGGAAAAAGAGAGAGAAAAGAGGATGTATTTATTTATTTTATTAGTTTAAATTACTGTTAGGGTAAAAACCTTCCCGTTACATTTCCTGAAACATAACTCACTTCACGCGAATTGTTTTTCTTTTCTGGGCACGGACTTTGAGAATCCTACGTCTGTGTTCAGAACTAATTTGGGAACCACTGACCTGTGTTATCGGGGGAGTTTGTCTTAAAGGAAAGGAATTTATGATGTGTTATTGGCTACTTGCTGGGCCAATGGAAGATCTATCTCATTGACAAAAACAACAATTTAAGGAAATCATTGCCTCCTTCCCCTCTTATTTCTTTGCCACGAGGGATGGTTTTAGTAATTTTAAACTATAGGAAAAAGAGACATTCAGATGAATACACAAACGGCGAGATCTGCACACAAATCTTTCCTGTGACAATTTGAAACAACAGATCTCTGGGCTACTGCATTCCGACCCTAGAGACCTATAACCAAACTGGCTGAGAAGTTGTTTTTCCCCCTGTTTCTAAAATTATTTCATGAGGATATCGCTTTCATTATCTTCATTTCTACAGCGAGATTCAAATTCATAAGAAGAAATTTTTCTATCACATGAACAAGATCCTGCTCCATACATAAGATCCATATTGTACCACTATTATTAGTTTTACTGACTTAACTGCCATTAAAAAGAAAAAAAAATTAAGTAGATATATTCTTCAAATGAAAAAAGTAATTCGACGCTTCAGTGCTGTAACACCCTATGAAAATATGTTTGAGAACGTATGTTTCTTTGAATCTTTACACTAATTTGGATCTCTAAAGTAGAGTAACAGAGGTTTTTTTGGGGGGGGGCGGGGGTGGGAGAAGGGTTAGCTTGATTTTGTGAAATAGAGGGACAAGAGCAAATGAATCAGGGCCCTGATTCCTCCTCTCTGGACATTGGCCTGGAGAGGAAGAAGCTTGTGTGGATAAAATGGGGTGAGCACTGAGAGCAGAGGGGGGGTGCCTGACTGCTTTCTGATTGGCACCCTTGGGAAAATTACTGAGCAGGAAATAGTGGTCCAAGGTGGGTCACCTCGGCCAGGTTCCAAAGGCGGAGCAGCATTCTCAGAGCTAAGCAGAGGGCCAGGCCAATGCTACCAGCCCTCCCAGGTCCGTTCTTGGGAGAACTCTGTTGACTTCTAACTCTTAGTTGTTTTGTGTGCTTTTCTTTCCTTTCCGTTTTTGGTTTCCTTTCTTCTCACCATGAATTTGCTATGAGACGTAACACAAGTCACTTTACTTGCCTGGATGTCATTTTCCATATTTAAAAAGAAGTGGGGTTCTTCCACTAAGGTTTCTTTTCTGCCCCAAAACTGATTTTGTCCCACGTTCATTGTTCTGCTTATCCTTATTCTTCTCTCTCACCTCCTCCCTCCACCCTGCTTTTTTCTTTTTGCTGAGAGTAAGGTTTCTTTATTGCATGTCACTAACATTTTAAAAGTACTTTGTCACACTTTATACCAGGAGATAGATCAGAGGTTTTTCTTATTCTCACTTTGTAGACAAAGATATCAAAGCTCAGAAAGGTTTAATGTAAAATGAAAAACGGCTGCTTTCCGATTTCATGTAAACTTAATCTAGCCTTTTCTTATGGAGCATGAAGCTATGTAACAACAGTGCTACTTAAATAATTAGCAGAATGAACTTGAATATGGTATCCTTATGATTTAAAAGGAGATGTTTCAGATCACTTAGCAAATTCATTCTGGCTCCTAGAAGTTACTGCTTTATTTTCCAACATTTACAAAGTGCACGAGACCTGGAGAGCACATATTCTAGAGATGCTAAATTAATTTGTAATTAATGATATTGTAATTAGGGACTTTCAAAAGACAATAAAGTTAAAAAAATGAAACCAAATGTAATAGTCAATTGACATAGACTATTCACGATTCTATTCAATTGATTAAGTGCTCTTGTTGTTTCTGGGGCCACCACATGTACCAGGTTTGACTTTGGGTCTCTGCAGACGGAAGCCAAGTGCTGGGTCATCAGTTAGACACAAATAGGATGAACTCAAGTCGACTGTAATCTATTAATCTTGCCTGTGCTGGCAGTAATGTATCATTGTTGAAGTTGACCAAGCCCACCTGTGGTAGGTTTTCTTTTATAAGATAGCCATGCTAGTCACAAGGGCCCACATACTTAAAGTTTAGCCCTCTGGAGTTCATCTTTGTAAGATTTGCTGAAGCCTTTTGGATACAAAGACCATGACATTCCATCAACTGCTTTCCTTCCCATTGGGTGGAAAAAGTGTCTTTCCTAATATGTCTCAAGAAATTATAATTTTCAAAGACCATGTTATGTCCCTTCCCTGCCCACCAGTGAGTTAAGCATATTTAATTGCTCAAATCCAGCCAAAAATCCCATTTTCTTAAACAGTATATTTATGAGTTGTCCATTTGTGTTCATTATTAGATAGGATTAAAAAATTAGATTTTGAGTTTTGAGGGCTAAGGCCCACTGGACTGAATAAATGAACTCCTCAGGACAAAAGAGGGATCCTTTTGTGGGCATATGACCTATGGTATTTTTAACCACAAGACTAATGAAGTTCAATTTTCAACTCCTTTCTGAAGTCTTCCTTAATTACCCGAGTCCACAGTCAACCTTCCTGTAGGATGTACCTTATACAAGGCTGTCTACACAGGTTAATTTTATATGCTACCTGATTTGATGATAGCCTTCTAAGGTCAAGAATCTTACTGCCTGCCCAGAGCAAGAAGCTGAATCAATATTGGTTGATTGATCACTTTCTCTTATTTCCAAAGACAGTTGGCGGTAGTGCTACAGTTGCTTCAGGTCTGGCATAACTATTCCAAGATGGTTGCCAGTCATTACATACCTAGATCGGGAGCAGCTGAAGAACACCCCTTCTTCATTACTTACCAAATTTAAATCCATTCATTTCTCTGAGCACTTTCAAAAGCCACGCACAGTGCTTTTGGGCATACAAATAGTGCCTACCTTTTATTAAACAATGCATAAGTCCTAGTCACAATGTTATGTACTTTATAAACATTGTGATATTTAATTATTATAATCACATTAAAAAAGTGACATGACTATTCCCCTTTTACAGACGGGAAAGTGAGCCTAAGAGAGGTCAAGTTATTTGCTCATGCTTACATAAAAAAGTTTACACAAGAGAATTTAGTTCAACGTAGCATTT